TCTAGAAAAGCGGGCTTACAGGTGTTCTAAGCCCATGTTTTATTCTGAAGTACCCCTCGACACAGAAAAGCAAATTCATAGCACAAAACACACCAGCCTAAGACCAGTCTTAGAATTCGTTTTTGTGTCAATCAAAACTTTACAGAGGAGATAAACAGTGATATCTTTTTCCATTCATTCAACTGTTTGCACAGGGAGGGAGAAGCCAGAAATCTGACTGGTAAGAAATTCTTATCCTTTTGCCAGCATGCTGGACTTCTGGGTTCCCTTTTCCTTAGTGGTACTAGCGATCCAGCTTGTGGCACCATCACCCTGGGGGCCAAGTGGCATCATAAAGGAAAAAATTTTTTTTCTTTCTAGCCAGAGCAAAATACGTGTGATAAGACATAGACATTAGTCACTCTGCTTAGCACACACTATCAAACGGGCAAGGCTTAAACTTGCCCCCAGATGGACCCCATCATCTTTAATCCAACCTCAGACTTGGAGTTTCAACACTTGTTCTCTGGGCAAGATGGTCACCCTGAGGAACAGAAAAGATAAGAAAGGGGGCCAGGCTTGGTGGTTCACACATGTAGTCCCAGCACTTTTGGAGGCCAAGGTGGGAGGATCACGAGGTCAAGAGATCGAGACCATCCAGGCCAACATGGTGAAACCCCGTCTCTACCAAAAAAAAAAAAAATACAAAAATTAACTGAGCATGGTGGTGCGTGCCTGTAGTCCCAGCTACTCGGGAGGCTGAGGCAGAAGAATCGCTTGAACCTGGAGGTGGAGGTTGCAGTGAGCCAAGATTGCACCACTGCACTCCAGCCCGGTGACAGAGCAAGACTGTCTCAAACAAACAAAAAAAGATAAGAAAGGGAAAAGGGAAAGTAGAGAAAGAAAATATTGCCTGTGGCAGGATGGGGAAGGCAAAATGATCAGCGAGGTCAGAGAAAGACCCACCCATTGCAGCAACACTGAAAAATTTCAGGTGGCTACTGTCGGTCCAGCAGGGATCTTTTTCCAGCAGTCCCATCAGCTCTCAAGTTTCCCCTTTTGGAGGAGGAAAAAGCTCTCCATGTCCCTCGATACTGTACATGCCTAACCCTGTTACCCTGGGCCATCAGCAAAGAGTGCAAGGCAGATTAATTCCAAAGAGAATAGCAGTTAACATCCCATAGTTCTGAACCTGTTCTTAGCTGAGAGGGACTTTACCGAGAGGGGCCTCTAACCCCCTAAATCTTAGAAGGGACTCTAACCCTCCCAAGTTGGGCCTCTAACCCAATCCCATTCTTTACCCAAGTACCCCACCACTTACCCAAAGTCAGCCAATCAGTGCTGCAGCCTGTTTCCTTTGGGTTGGGGAGGTTTCCTGAGTATTGTCCCTCTTTTGGTTCATGAGAAAGATGTTACCAGATTCCACCACTTACCCAAAGTCAGCCTTTGGATTGGGGGTTTCCACAGTATAGTCACTTCTGTAGTCACCAGAAAGATGTTTTAGGACCCCAAAACTTATCCAAAGGTAGCCATTGGGTCAGGGTTTCTTCACTATAGTCCCTTCTGTGGTCACCAGAAATATGTTAGAGGAAAGGGGTCTCGACCCCATGTTCTAATACAGGGTTCTCAGATCTTATGCAAGAAAGAATTCAGGGCTGGTTCATGGTGCAAAATGAAAGCAAGTTTGTTAAGAAAGTAAAGGAATAAAAGAATGGCAACTCCATAGACAGAGCAGCTACACTTGTCTGATTAGTGATTGTATTCATGTATGTATGTTTCTGCACTTGTCTGATTCAGCCTAAAAACTTTTTATTTTAGATCGGTTTATCAATTTCTCCAAAAAGAGCACCCTTTGAGATTTTAATTGGAATTGCTTTGAACCTATAGATCAATTTGGGAAAACTGTATCTTAAGCATATTGACTCTTTTGATTCATGAACAAGATATATCTCTTTATTTTATTTGGGTCTTAAATTTCCTCTCAGCCATCTTTTGTACTTTTCAATGTGTTATAGGTCTTGAACTTTTTTATTCAGATTTTTCCCTTAGTAGTTAATATTCTTTGATAGTATAATACATACTATTAAAAATGCCAATCCAAGTTTGTATTGCTGATGCAAAGAAATACGATTAAATTTTGTATATTGATTTTTAATCTGCAACTCACTTATTGTTTCTAGTAATTTTTATAGATTTCATCAGATTTTCTACATAAAAGATTATGCTATCTATGCATCATATAGTTTTACTTCTTCCTTTTCAATCTGGATGCCTTTTATTTCATTTCTTTTCTCATTGCACTGACTACATCAACCAGGACAGTGCTGAAGAGAAGTGAGCAGGGCTGATATCCTGGCCCTTTTCCTTATCCTAGTGCGTGTGTATGAATTTCTCAATTATATACTCTTAGATGGAATAAAATATTATAATCCAATTGAAATCTCTGCTTCCATCTGATAGTTTACAAATAGTAACAAAAGTCTGCAATTAAATTACTACTTCATTCACTTTCGAATAATAGATTGATAATATTAATACATACAAAATAAAGACAATTTAAGAAAGAGAAAATCATGTTTTCAGTACCAGTAATTAGAAGTTAGAATCAAGTACCTACACACACACACACACACACACACACACGGATAAGAAAAAATATATTTATGTGTATGTGTGTGTCCGTGTATATCTATCTATATATACATATATATATATGTATATGCATATGTATATATGTATATATATGTATATATACACACAATTATATATATATATATATATACACATATATATATATATAAAATTGTGTGAAAAATTGATTCACACATTTATGAAGGCTGAGTCCCACAGTCTGCCATTTACAAGCAAGCACGAGACCAGGGAAACCAGTGATGTACTTCAATCCATATCCGAAGGCCTGAGAACTAGGAAAGCAAATGGTGTAAATCCCAGTTTGAGAGAGGAGATGTGGACTGAACATAAATATATGCGTGAATACATGTACGTTTGTACATGTGTGTGTTGGCTATGTGTATATCTAATATGGAGTTCTGATAGTGTCTATTTTATTTTATTGTGTTTCTTTATAATTCTATTCATTGCTCATTACATTAAAGATGCAAATTACATGTCATCAATGACTATGTGTTTTGTGGTAACCCTAGTGGCCATATCAAATATGTCCTTTTTGTCTAAAAATAATGTATCTTTAAAAGTTCACATTAAACTTCAGATAACAGTGTTTGTTTCTCACAAGGCAAGAGTTAGTTAATAAAAAGTAGGCCGGGCGCAGTGGCTCACGCCTGTAATCCCAGCACTTTGGGAGGCCGAGGCGGGTGGATCACGAGGTCAAGAAATCGAGACCATCCTGGTCAACATGGTGAAACCCTGTCTCTACTGAAAAAAAAAAAATACAAAAAATTAGCTGCGCATGGTGGCGCATGCCAGTAATCCCAGCTACTCAGGAGGCTGAGGCAGGAGAATTTCCTGAACCCAGAAGGCGGAGGTTGCGGTGAGCCGAGATCGCGCCACTGCACTCCAGCCTGGGTAACAAGAGCAAAACTCCGCCTCAAAAAATAAAATAAAAAATAAAAAGTAGACCTCAGGAAAAAGGATCCACAGGTGCAGGTGCCCTGTTGTTCACTTGCCATCCTGTATATGACTGTCCTTGGGCTTGGGTGTAGTTAAATGTCATGTTTTTATGATCCCTCTTCCCTCTATGAGGGAAGTGTGAGAGTTGTATTGGGCATGATCGTTAATTTGAACTCAAGCCTCAAGGACCCTCATTTAAGATGTCAAAAAGTTTAGGAAGGAAAAGTAAAAGAGCTGTCCAAGCCCCTTTCAATACTCAAGAAACCTTGCAGCTCCTAGTCAACAGAGGCAGGAAAACCTCCCCCTACAAGGTGCATCAGTGCGCATGTCCGTTGCTGGGCGTGTCCATCATTGCGCAAGTGCCTGGCTGTCTGCGGGCGTTGCTGGGCACGTCCATTATTGCGCAAGTGCCTTGCTGTCTGCGGCGTTGCTGGGCATGTCCGTTATTGCGCATGTGCCTTGCTGTCGGCAGTCTGCGCTCAGAGCTGCTGCCTAGGAGGTGGTCCTCTGTCCTCTTCATTTTTTCTCGCGGACTGGAACTCAACTGGTAGGCCCTCAGATCAATCCTCCAGGGAATTTAGTTGTGAGCGAAGGTGAGGGGGAGCCAGTGGGCTTTGGACAGGTCTTGTGGCACAGTCCGTGGCTTCTGAGGGAAAAGGGCTTTGCAGTCATCGTCCGGCTCCTCCTAGGTCGCGATACCACATGGGCCTTTGTCGTCGTGGCTGGGCTGGGATGAGGGAGGAAGGTAGGCCGTGGAGAGGAGGAATTAAATGGAGATGGGACGAGTGCTGGGCGTACTGTTGGAGATACCTGAGTTCCGAAAGTGCCTGGAACCCTCCAAGGGAGGACAGATTCCCCAGTTCTCAGATGGGACCTGGGCAGGGGCAGGGCAAGGTGGGTGGTAAGGAAGGGCCATGGGAACTAGGAACACTGTGGGCTGATGACTGCGGCCCCAATGTCTGTAGAGCACCCCACAGCAGTAGGGGCTTCGCAACTTCACACCTGCACCAGGACCTCTCAGGAGGAATGGGCGAGGCTGTGCGTTCCAACAAAACTTGATTTTAGAGTGGAAATGGGCTGAGTAAATGAGAGTGTGACAAAAGCAGTAGTCAGTTCGGTTCCAGTTCTCCAACTATATTTTCCTAGATGTCTTCATGATGGAGAGTCTAAGTGTGAAACCAAAACTCACAAAGTCCTCTGTCTTGCCATGAGCCTTGCTGGCTAGCATAGCCATAATATGAATCACTTTGCGAGCAGCCATATTTGGTATGATCGGAAAGCATGCAAACTCACAATTATCCTGGAACTTAATTTTAAGATATTTTCAAAATGTAAAAACTTTAGTTATCACCTAATTTAGCCATGGAAGTGGTCGGATGGTACACTCTTATGTACATTTGCTGAATCACAGTATGTCACTTTCAGAGTGAAGTATGAGTGGACATCAAAGAGCAAGATCTACATCTAGAGAAAGAAGAGATGATCAAGAGTCTAACCATCCAGTAGGGGCTGTGGTTGTGAGTATTTTAGCATTTGATATTTTCTATTAGAAACTTATTTTTGTGAAAATGTTGTTGAACTTATATTGATATATTAATAAGGTCTTCCATGGTTATAAATGGTAATAATTGAATCTCATGACATAAACATAGATTTGGATGTTTGCATTCTAATGTTGCATAGATGGTTATGTTTTTATATTCCCCAGAAATATGCCCTATGGCTTCCTTCTCCTGCTTATTCATAACACATTGTATGCATCCATTCCAGCATAGATTAAAATAGCTTCCCAAGTTTTTAAGGGAACTCTTTTCTTGTAGTAACTATTAAGAATAAGTATATGTAGAATTGTGTAAGAAAAAATGTTTTTAGACTTATTTGTGGTGAGATGTAGCTGTATATTGAGTATCTGCATATTATTGACATACATTAATAACAGAGCTTTTTATTTGCACACACATTCACATTCCTAGGCCCAGGATCTGCCCGGTGATGACCAACCTCAACAAGAGGAACCACCAACTGAAAATCGAGATTATGCACGTGGTCGAGAGAGAGATGAGGGACCACTGGAGTTCCAAGGTGAAGGGTGGGAGAGGAAGAATGTCTGTGAATGGAGGAGGTGTATGTGTGTATCATGTATTGTAATATGGAAGTAAACGGAGGAAAAAAGCAATAGAAAGAGATCTCCAGCATTTCCTGAAAATTGGCTGGAAAAGTGAAGAAGGCATAGTTTGCAGCCAAGTGCAGTCCCTTGGTATAATGCATTCTACCTTCAAGACTTACTTGTTACGCTTGCCAGAGCCCTTCATTAGCAAACCCAGGGAAACTATGTTTAACTTTAGTCAGAATTTGCACTATTTCACTAGTTAAATTTGATCTTAGAATGTTGTGTATCCTTCTTAGTAATTACAACAAAAGTTTAAGCAACTTTTAATAGCATGTGGAGAGTGCAAAGGCATCATGTATATATGTTTTTTACATATATATGACATGATTTTATAGCTATGATACATGATTTTTACATATATATTATATATGTTTTTACATATATATGATATACATGCTTTTACATATAGTGACATGTTGACATATGTTTTACATATATATGGCATATGTATGTTTTTACACATACATGACATGTTTTAAATATGACATATATATGTTTTACATATAACATGCTTTACGTATGACATGTTTTGCATATAATGACATACATATGCCTTACATAGTATGACATATATGTTTTTACATGCTATGGCATGTGTTTTTTACATATTATGTATGTGTTTTACATGTGACCTGTTTTACATATATGCTTTACATATAATGACATTTTACACATATAATGACATGTTTTTACATGTGTATGATACATATATGTTTTTTTACATATATATGATATATCTATCATACCCACACCAATTCACACCTTGGATTAAACTAGCTTGCATAGAGATATATAATCTCTCTATATATGACATTTCATATATGACATTTCATATATAACACCTTGGATTAAACTAGCTTGCCTAGAGATATAAATCCCATTTAATAAGTAAGAAAACTGAGACTCAGAGATTCTGCTTACCAAAGAGCACTTCACTGGTGGAGAAATAATTTGTATTTCATTCCAAAGTATGCATTCTTCTTACCATCTTGGTTGCTGTAAGAAAAAGCAGGTTTTAGGGATATAAATATTAATGAGAGAGATGATTTCAGCCTTGAGCTCACAATCTAGTTACACTAAAATGAATCACTAATTTAAAATTATAAGTACAAGAACATATACCTACAAAGGGGTCAACTAAGCTGTCTGGGGCACTTGTGGGAAAAGAAAAGGATGATAACATTTGGAAAACGTTTTCTTTTTCTGATGAGACTCCGAAATAATGTTGTTGAAATTCTTATGCATTGCATTTATTGCCACAGTAGCCTATAGGCTTTTATTTCATAACATTGAGGGAGTGAATATTATCACTTTTATTTATATTTTATGTTTTACAACTTAAATTGGTAACCTTTTTTATTTTTAAGTGCTAGGACTGGCAGCCTATATCCGGGAACTGATTCGGTCGAAGACCGGGGGTGAACGTGGGGATGGACCTGATGTCGTGGGAGAATTTCTGCCAAATCTGGAGCCTGTGAAAATACCAGAAGCAGGTAAGTTATCCATTAAAAATGCAAATTACAGGGTTTCTGCTTTCAAAAGTACTATATATTTTCTAATACAGAGGTAACATTACTTCTAATATAATTTAACAGAGTTCATATATAAAGATTCTTTGAAAGATAGTTCAGTCTCCAAAAGCCTGACTTATAAGCTGGCAGAGATTCTACCACATTGGGTCAAAGCCACATTCCATTATAAAATGTGAAGATATTTTCTTACTTTTTAGTATACGTTCCTTAACCAACAGCTAATAATATCAGATACTTTTATGAAGGTCTGCTTTTAAAAAGTATCTAATAAATTTGTAACAGATGTTCATTGTATGAAACACGTTGAGGCAATTAAGGAGGCTTTAGTCCAAGCTCTAACATAATTTAACTGACTTTGGGCAAATTCCTCATTTTCTATACCCACATTTGCTCTTATAAAAATAGGTCAAAATCAAATACAATAAAATTTGAGTAATCAACTTAAGTATGTTTTACACATGTTTTTTCAAAACTTCTAGGCATTAATTATATGAGCTTCTGAATTTAATGCAAAGACTTAGTGTTTAGGGAAGAAATTACCTTGCATTAGTCCACTGTTTTCGCTCTGCATTCCTAATCCATTCCATTAGAATGTTTAGATTCAAAATAGCTTTCAGGCTATGTTCAGGAACCTATTGAACATATATTCATAGTAAGATCATAGCCTTTAATAGCTATGTTATTAAACAATAAAAATATAAAATTATATGAGCATTCAATATAAAAAATAAGAAAAAGATACAAAATAAACATAAGGGAAAAAGAAAAATATACTTTTTTGTCTGTTTAATTTTAATTTTCTTTTTTTGTTTATTTTATTTTATTTTTTATTATACTTTAAGTTCTCGGGTACATGTGTAGATTGTGCAGGATTGTTACATAGGTATATACATGCCATGGTGCTTTGCTGCATCCATCCCCCCGTCATCTACATTAGGTATTTATCCTAATATTATCCCTCCCCAATCCCCCCACCCCCTGCTATACCTGCCCTAGCCCCCTCATCCCCCAATAGGCCCCAGTGTGTGATGTTCCCCTCCCTGTGTCCATGTGTTCTCATTGTTCAACACCCACTTATGAGTGAGAACATGCGGTGTTTGCTTTTCTGTTCTTGTGTCAATTTGCTGAGAATAATGGTTTCCAGCTTCATCCATGTCCCTGCAAAGGACATGAGCTCATCCTTTTTGATGGCTGCATAGTATTTCATGGTGTATATGTGCCAGATTTTCTTTATCCAGTCTATCATTGATGGGCATTTGGGTTGGCTGTAAGTCTTTGCTATTGTAAGCAGTGTAAAAGACAGGTATAGTCATTAAGGGAAATAATTCAACTAGTAAATAAAAGAGATTTTCAACATACCTATGAATAGATATATTTGCCTAATCTTGTTTACATAATCATGTAGAAAATGGATTTCTTGTAGAAAATGGCTTTCTTGTAGAAAATGGTTTTCTACAAGATTATGTAGTTTACAATATAGTCTCTAGTTTACATAATCTTGAAGAAAATGGACAAAGCTCAAGTATACAAAATAAAAAATAGGAACAAGACAGGACAAATATTGAATGTGTAATACAATTACAAGTGGATACATTCTTGAACTCTGAACAATTTTCAAACTTTGATGCAATGTTTGATATGCTATTGAAACTTGATTATTTACTCTACCACAGTAGTGAGTATTTAAACATCATAATATGGATGAACTTTTAAAACTTGCCAGAATTTTCCATCAAGAGTGTTTATCATTTAGAAACAAACAAACAAAAAAAGCTATTGTTTATTTGTTTTTAGCTTTTCCAGATTCGTCAGTCTCTTTCTGTCTCTCCTCCTCTCCCTCTCCTTCTGCTCCCCCTTTTGCCAAATTATGAGAACCATTACTATTTCTTTTTAACACTTTATCTATAATGATAATGGCTTGCAACCAGTGAGACAACATAATTTATTGTACAAACTGGAATATTTTTAAATGTGCAAAGAAGTGTTATTGATAATTATTCTAGAACCACAGGTGAAAACAGGGACAAATGGTTAAACTATTTTAAATCAACATATAAGGAGTAAACTAATCACAAACATTTTAGCATTTTGTCATAACAGAAACAAAACAAATGTAATACTAGTCTTTCTATTTATGCCACTTAATCACTTTCAAATGTGGCATTACTGTTTGAGCTATTCTATATTCAAAAAATTATTTCAAATTTCTTTTGTTTCCTAAGTTTTATGTTTGGTTGGTTGGATTTTTTTTTTCTAAAATTCCATGCAGTTTTTAGTTTCCAGTTAAAACTTTCTTTAAATAGATTCATTTGATCAAATCATTTTGAACTCAAACTCTTTCTTATACACTAGAAAAATGAGTGGGATTTTAAAATATTGTTAATATACCTGAAAGTCTACCTTCTAAGTCTCTATAGAGGTTTAACCGGATATAGGCCAGAAGGTTACCTTGTTATAGTTCATTTTATAAAGCCAAAACTATGCCTTATTTTTTTACCCATAGTGTTATCAAAATAAGTTCTGCTAAGAAATACTCCCAACTGTTATGTTTATTTTATAGGTGAAGGGCAACCATCGTTTTAAATGAAGACAAGCTGAAACCATACATGCAGTCTTCATGTTGGAAACTTGATGATTCAAATTCTCTCAGTAAAGTTTCCAAATTGTCTGCAAAGAAGTCTTGTGCATCTTATTTTAAAATAGGAATAATTAGGTATTTCATACCATTGAAAATTGTATCTTTTTTGAAATTTTATATTCTGTTTGAGTTGGTAGAGATATACTTTTATGATTTTCTCTCCAGAAACCTTGCTACATATGCTTATTAATTCCAAAAGTTTGTCTGTAGGTACTTTTTGATTGTCAACATATACAATCATGCCATTTGTGAGTAATAATACTTTTCATTCCACCTTTTAAAGTATTATACTCTTTATTTCTTTAATTCATTTTATGGCATTGGACAGACCCATCCATTACAATGAGGAATTGAACTGGTGATAGTGGACATCCTCATCTTATTCCTGATAAGAAATGGAAAATATTCAACATTTTACATGATTTACTGTAGATTTTATTTGTAGATATACTTTATCAGAAGTTCCTTCTATTTCTAGTTTCTGAGAGTATTCCTCTTGGATATATGTTGCCTTTCCCCAAATAGTTGTACTTCATCCACTGTGATTATAATGAGATTTGTTCCTCTGTTAATTTATTACTGTGGTGAATACACTAAGTACATTTAACCAACCTTGCATTTGTAGGGTAAACACAATTGGTTCTTGAAATGTTATCCTTTTTCAATAATCTATGTCCTAATATTTAGTGTGTGTGTGTGTGTATAATTTAATAAAATTATTAAATAAAAAATAAAATTTAGTATATATACTAAATAAAATATTAGTGTATATATATATATATATATATATACACACACACACACACACAGAGAGAGAGAGAGTGAGTTTAACTTACACTTTGATTTCATGTACTATTTTTGTTTGACTTTGGTATCAAGGTTATGCTAGCTTTTTAATATGAATTGGGATGTAACACTTCTTTTTCCAACCTCTGGAAATAAAATCTCTACAAATCGTGAGTTATGAAGGGCTAGGCTTTCCCATGCTCATCTGTTTCTGTATGGCTTCTGCCTCTTACAGTTTTAAATTTTAGGACTTAAAAGGCAGTGACAGAAGGGGCAGCTCCAGGTTCCCATCCCTTCAAACCTTGTGAGGCACATCTTCTTTAAATGCTTTGATCCCTCTAATGATGCTGTCACTCTGAAAGCTACCTGCTCATGTTTTTATGCTGATGCTTTTCTCAAAGTATATGCTTCTGAAAGTGTTGTGTAAGGAACTAACACTGTACATGATGACTTTAGCCAGTAATAGGATACTTTCATAAAAATTTCATCAGCATATGAATATAAAATTGCTTGACTTAAAAGGCATTGTTCTTTCCTTGAAGGAAAGTTTCTCTTGTATTCCCTTCTGTTCTTTCTCAGAGTTAATTTAGAGGTTGAGAAGGATCAGTGACAAATCTCTTTTTTCCTCTGCAAAATTCTTTATTGGCCTGATATTCACCATATCTCACCAAGAAACCTCTAAACCTACCTAATTCCAGCCTTGCACCCTTATTACTGTACACAGTGACAGCAGGTTGCATCTCTGAGCCCCCATTCATATCCATACACATTTAGAGTTATGCAAGACCCTACCCAAAATCCACCTTGCTTAGGGAAAGACACAGGATTATAAATAGCAACTATTTCTTCTACTTGCAAGTTTAAAATATTTTCTTGATCCAAAAAGATTAAAAATCTATGGTTAGAAAAATAAGAAAACTGCAGGGTGTTATCTCAATTTTCACAAAATTTGTGAGATTCCTAGATGGTGGCGCTAACTGCAAAGATCAGATGCTAGGTAGAAATGAAAGGGGTACTTGTTGAGGCAAAATGTCTTGGGTCCTATCTACACTGCCTCTTTATAAGCTGTAGCGTGAAATAGCCATGGGTTTTTATTGTGGCTCTGGCACAAACTGGCTGTGTGATAGTGAGAAAGATACTTACATCCTTTGGAACTGTTTTGCATTACTAAAATATAAATTACAATGTTTATACTACAGTATTACTATGATTAATAAGTGAGATAAAGCCAGGCATGGTGGCTCATCCCTGTAACCTCAGCACTTTGGAAAGCCAAGGATTGCTTCAGCCCAGGAGTTTGAGACTAACCTGGGCAACATAGCAAGACCTCATTTCTACTAAAAAAAATAACAATAATAAATAAATGAGATAACACATATGAAGTAGGCATTACAGTATAAATGGATTTGGTTCACTATAGTCCATTTTTAATTACTTTTTTATTTCATTTACTTTTATAATTATATCTCTTGTAAGAGATACTGATTTTGAATTTCAAGTAATTATATAACTGAATGAATCTGAGCTCAGAAATTAATTTAAGTAACAATTAAATTGCAGTGTAGTTGGTATCAGACGTGGCATTGTATCTAAAGTTGGTTTATAAATGACAGAGTCCTGGCAAAGGCCACCTTAGGTCATCCACTGTGCTGAAAACTGCTTCTTCTTGTATGTGATGGCAACGAAAATAAGTCAATATTGTGGTCAGGTCATGCAACATCACACAACTCAATATCAGAGTCTATCTGTCAAGTGGTCAAGCAATCTCTAAGCAGCCCTGTGGTGACTGACTAAGGCCACAAGGATCACCACTGCAATTGTTAGGTTGGCTTGTCACATATTCATAGAGTCAGCTAGTAAGAAGACAATGAGTTCAAATAGATCTAAATAGTTTACTACTTACAGGCAGCACAAACAAGAGCAGCATTGTATCAGCTTTCTGTTTCTCTAGTCCCACAGTATGACATTGAATCAAAGGTGTTCGGTAACAGACAGTGCAGGTGCTGGGTCTCTCTGCCATCCATAACTATACTCTAAGTCAGTAAGCAATTTTATACCCACAATTGTACCCTAAGGTGGGGCAACAAGGAACATCTTGTGCTCAACCAGGGAGATGGATGAGTAATGACCTCGTGTCAGCCTCCAGCGAGACAGGAGGGAAATGAGAAAATTCCTTGTGGCAGGGTCACCAAGGCACCAAGACTGAGCCATTCCACTGGTGTCTGACATAAAACAAAAGACCGTATGTATAGCGCTTATGAACATAACATTTCCAATACTGGTTCCAAAATGGAGGGGATGCTTTCCCTGTCTGGGTCATTACAAAAAATTAATTCAATATACATGGCTTGATGCCTGCTATGTTTCAGGAAAATTCTGGAATGCTGGAAATGAAGAGACCAAAAAAATGTGGTGTTTGCCCATGGGGGGATATCACATTCTCTTGGGACAGGCATAAACAAACACAAAAGCAGTTGAAACATGAAGAATGAACAGAGGCAAGAGACCCCACCAAAAGTAAAAATAAAAATTTTTAAAGAGACTGGGGTGGCCTAAAAGCAGGAGAAAAGCACAAAAAGAAGACTCACTGTTAGAGTGAAATAGATACACTGGACTTCCTATATCCACTGATCACTGGGTTCATAGACTTGATTCTACTAATGTAAGACTGAATGACAATTATAAACTAAAATTTGCCAGATGGACAGTGTTGTTTTCATTTTAAAAAGTATTTCTTTTCATTTTAGCTACCAGCATAGGTGTGTAGTAGTAACATATTGCATTGATTTCCATTTCCGTAATAATTTATGACGCTGAGCATCTTTCTATGTGCCGATTAGATGGTGTCTGTTCAGTTCTTTAGCCCATTTTTTAACTGAGTTTTTTTCATTTCTTATTATTGAGATTTGAGAGTTCTTTATGTATTCTGGAAATGAATACTTTATAAAAGATGTGTTTTGCAAATACTTTCTCCCCATATGCGATGTTTTGCAAATGTCTTCTCCCCGTATATACCTTGTCTTTTCTTTCTCTTAACCATATATTTTGAAGAGCAGAAGATATTTTTAGTTTTGAAGTACAATGTACCAGTTTTTCTTTCATGGTTTTTTTAATCCAAGAAATCTTTGCTTCACTTAAGGCCAAAAATATCTTCTCCTATTTATTTTTTTCCCTAGAAATTTTCCAGTTTTAGGTGTTATGTTTAACTTTATGACACACACTAAATTAACTATTGGGTGTGGAATAAGGCTTTTTTTTGTTTCTCCAGTTTGTATTTTTTGTTTTATTGTTTTTGCTTCTAGACTCCAATTATCCCAACACTACTTGTTAAAAAGATTATCTTTCTCCATTGAATTGTTTTTTCACCTTTGTTGAAAGTCAGTTGATCATGTGTGTGAGCCTATTTCCGGACTCTATTCTGGTCCTTCTTTTTTTTGTTTTTAATACCACACTATTTTGATTACTGTAGTTTTACACTAAGTCTTTAATTTAAGTAGCATGAGTTCAGAATCATTTTGGTTATTTTTGTTCTGTTGTTTTTCTTACCTTTATTTCTCAAATAAAAATTGTATATATTTTAGGTGTACAAGATGTTTTTATATATATAGTGAAATGATTACTATAGTGAAGCAAATACCCACATCCATGTCCTCACATAGTTACCTTTTTGGGTTTTCTGGTGTCAGCAGAAATTTTCAATGTACATAACAGTATCCATGCTATACATTATAGCTCTAGGCTTATTCATCCCACATAACTACGACTTTATACCATTTGACCAACATCTCCATATTCCCCCCATTTCCCAGCCCAGGTAATCATTGTTCTACTCTGCTTCTGTGCATTCAAATTTTTTGGGTTACACATATGAGATGCAGTATTTTTCTTTCTGTGTCTGGCCTGTTTCACTTTGCATGATACTCTTTAGGTTTATCCATATTGCCACAAATAGAAGAGTAGCCTTCTTCTCTAAGTCTGAATAGTATTTCATTGTATGTGCATACCACAATTTCTTTATCCACTCAATGGACACTTCAGTTGTTTCCGTATCATGGATATTGTGAATAATGCTGCAATGTCCCTTCAAAGTACTGATTTCATTACCTTTGAGAATATACCCAGTAGCATCATATAATCTAGACCATATTTGCTAATTCAATATTTAATTTTTAAAGATCTTTTATATTATTTTCCATAATGACTATACCAATTTACACTCCCAGTAACAGTGTACATGGGTTTGCTTTTCTCCACATCCTCCACAACACTTGTTATCTCTTGCCTTTTTGATAATAGCCATTCTAACAGATGTGAAGGAATATCACATGGTGGTTTTGATTTACATTTCCCTGATTAGTGCCACTGAGCACCTTTTCCTTTAACTGTTGGTCATTTGTATGTATTCTTTGGGAAAATGCCTATTCAGGTCCATTGCCCATTTTTTTAAGTAGGATTACTTGTTTTCTTGCTATT